GGAGCGCATTTGGCAAGCACTCAAGTTATGACTTGTAGATTGCCACTATCCCTCAAGAGGAAGGTATATAACAGCTGCATCTTGCTGGTACTTTGGTCTGGAACAGAAACCTGGAGACTTGCAAAGAAGGTTCACCTTAAATTCAGGATGACGCAGCGAGCTATGGAAAGGGAAATATAGGTGTAACCTTAAGAGACAAGAGAGCAGAGTGGATCGGAGAGCAAACCAGGGTCAAGGATCATCATCATCATCAGCCTATGTCCACTGCAAGACAAAGGCCTCTCCCATGTTCCGGCAGTCAACTCGGTCCTGTGCTTGCTACTGCCAATTTATACCCGCTAACTTCCTATTCTCATCTGCCCACCTAACCTTCTGTCTCCCCCTAACCTACTCGCCTTCTCTAGAAATCTAGTTAGTTACCCTTAATGACCAGCGGTTATTTTGCCTGCGCGCTAGGTTCTCAGTCCCATGTCCATTTCTTCTTGATTTCAGCTATGATATCCTTAACCCTGGTCAGGGATAGAGGCAGTGCAGTGCCTGTATTCCTGACCAACACCCGGGGGGAACTTCGAGACATCGACATCACATCCCAGATGAACTCACTTTTGATGCGTTCGTTCGCGCTGGACATCCTTTGCTTCTTCGGCGCACATGACGACGACGTAGCAATGGACCACTTTTTCCAGTGCGAAGGGAGAGGTTTGAAGTTGTTGCATGGCAAGGGTCGGCAAAGCAAGTTGACGGACTTCTGGCAATAAATTTTCGTTTTGCTGGCCGTATCATTGTTTTTATGTCTCACAATCGCGGCAACGAAATTCTCAGGAAAATGAAATTTTTCGGTTTCCCCGGCGATTTAGTTATTGCTGGTTTCGACTGTATATGTAATTTGTCGTTATAATTTTTTAGCTTTGTTTCTTATTTTTGCGCTGTTTGCCACAGTACTTAACAATACAGCTTGGGCTCACTACAGCTGCCCACACTGCATTTCTCATTATGCTGCTTTAGGTTTATGACCACCATCTTTTTATATATGAGTCTAAGTTACATGATGATGGGGCGGGTTGAAACCCCCTAGTTTTGCCACTGGTACTTGGTAGTTAATGTGTACTACATTTAGTGCATAGTTAGCGGCATTCTCAGTACGTATGTGCATATTAACGAGGTTTTCCTGTAACAAACTTTGAATGTGTGTATGGGGGGGGGGGTGCATAGGTGGGCTCAGGGTTCCCCTTCAGGGAAGGTTCGTTGCAGTGCCCTCTTCCCTATTATGTCAATGTATGCCGCTGGCTTTACGCCCTCTCCTCGCCACTCCTGCCTCCTCGTGCGCATGCCTATGCGAGTGATTGTTCGCATGCGCTGGTAGACCTTCATGCTGCGGATAGCTTAATTGTTGGTGCAATATCCTTTACTGTTTTATGTCGCCGTTTCTGTATATGATCCTGCTTTTGTTCTTTTTTTAAGCTTATTTTGTGGGTTTCCTGCTTCTGTATAAATGATTACGTAAACTGAGGGAACATTAAACTAAAGCTAAATTTTCTTCTTCTGTGTGTATCATGAAAAGTCTGTGCATCTCCAAGCTCACACGTAGCTGCTCCAAAAGCAGATTTTACCTGCTCTAATGGCTGCTCCAAAGTGCTGGAAAGCATTCCCACCACTGTCATTGTCTCGGAAACTCTTGCAGAATAAATTGGCCCTGGGTATATATTAGTAACGATAGGTAGTGGGGATCTCCTTCTAAACGTTCACTACAACACCAAGTATGACAAGCTATCGACACTCGCAGCATTTGGCTATATTACAGTGTCTGTGGGTCCACAAAGGTCGATGAACACAGTGCGCCTGCAACACAGTGCGCCTTGCACATATTTTGCATTTTTTATACATCTCCCTTTCGTTGCACCAAGCTGCTCCAAAACCATAAAAATCGCGAAAATTGCACTGAACTGCTCTGATGCCAACCTCAGCTTCAGTGGGGAAAAAAGGCCGAGTTTACTAATAAGACGGGCTCAAGCGTTTTTACTTTGCACCTATTCGAAGGCTCCCGTAGTACCGCCATAATCTCCTCTAAACTGCTGTACATGTGCGCGACTCCGCAAAAATGTGCTGCCGTGCATAGAGTGTGCTGCTTCTACTAGCTATGCTATGTGTTCTGGTGCCACTGTCGCCTAGCAAAAACCACAGAGTCGAGTGGCAAGCTTAGCGTGGTTGTGTGTAGCGCGGTCGCAGCAGTTTTCATGTCGACGCTGCTGCATGCGGTCACCTGCGCATGCAGGTTTGCGGTGAGGGAGTAACTGTAATGTGCAGTCATTTCCCTGCATGTGACGCGTCTCCTGGATGCTCTGGCGCATGAATTCTCAAACTGGGTTCCGTGAGCGACAGAATGCATCTAACCCATTCCCGGTTTACGCTCATCAGCCATTAATTTATTTAGACAAGCGAGTTTTCATTGAATTTTGCATTTAAAAAAGCCATCGCATGTAAAATCGCACATCGGTGTCTGCAGGTAGAGGAAAACGCTTGGTTATTTGCAGAACCGAGGTGACAGAATGCGCATTCAAACCATTTTAAATATTAACGCGCACCTCGGCCCTTTATTTGTGATTCGTGACGTGTCAACAGTAACGTGGCACAGTTTTCATGAACAGTGACTTGCCACTGCATCGTTTCATAATCGAAACTCGCAACAAGAGCTTCAAGAGGCGTCGCTGCATGTCGACTCAGAGCTACATGAGCTTTGAAACTTAGCTCGATCGGTGTTTCGGTCGGCAGCCGTTCCACAATGTGACTAGCGTACTTCGTTTTCTTTCTTCACTTTTTGCAATAAAACCGGCCTTGTACGCTCATTTGTGTGGACACGAATTTCTTACCTGCGCTGTGCAGTACAAGCGCTTTACGTTGAGTCGTGGAGCGGTGCGGACAGCAATCGCAAATCGATGTATTAGAAAGCTTTCGAAAAGAGGTCCTAAAGAAGTATCGTTGAAGCCACTGCAAATGCCCAAACCTCAAACCACGTTTGCGATTTAGGGATGCTATTTCTCGAATTTAGCGGGAGCCCCAAAGCCCGCCTCAAAAGTTTTGGGTCAGACAAAAGCAACGGCACCCACTGAAGGGACCGCTCTTGGCCAAGACTAGAGTGACACAGAATAGGCGGAGTGTCAAAGCGCCTCCTACTTTATTAGAAAACTTAACGCTCTTGCTTGACCCAAAGCATGCATATGCAAAGGGCTTAGGGGCCCCTATTCGGAAACTCCCTAATTAAGAAAATAAGACAGGCGAATGTAGGCCATATTAATAACGTGCGGTTCCTCGCGTGGGGAGGCATTATCAATAATATCATTCGCTTATCACTTTGTGCCATACTCGTGCGCTTTATGAGATAGTCTGTGCGGCGAGATCTCTTGGCTCCTGCGCTGCAATCTAGAAGGTGGCCGCGAACGGCGGTGCAGTGCATTTTTTTTGCTTGTTAAAAGCTTGCAGTCCCCTGATGCTATTAATCCAGCCTTTTCTTTAAGCGAAGGCTCGCCGTTGCATAACTATGATTCTTGTGTCCCTTGTGCACAAGAATCGTAATGTTGAGCTCTCATCGAGGCTAGTCATGACGCTTGTAATTCTATATTACTTGCAATGCTGTACAGCGCGAGCTCATGTTTTGGTGGAACCTAGTTTTCAAAACCTTTTTGAAATATTATTTCACATGTTTGATATGAGGGCTAGTTAGTTCACGTGCATGTAAAAAAGGTAGTGCAGTTCAGACCTGGTTCTAATCTGTCCTTCAAAATCGGTGGTATGTGAATTTTTTGCCAATTGAAACGTGCACTGGTGCCCCCATGGTTCCTAAAATTTGTATTTTCAAGCTCCGAGGACAACATATTAAATGCCGCTGACTGCTCCGAAGCAAGGTTTTTCTGCTCGAAAATTGAAATTTTGCTTCTCCAAAAACTGCTTCCAATTTAGTCTCGGCCGTCTCACCCCTAGTCATGTCATCTCTGATGACCTCCTCGAGCTATCGGAAAGTGAATTGCTGGAAGGATGGCAGGAACAGAATGTAGTGAAAGTACAAAGAATAACAACAAGGTGAGATGATGAACAAAGCACATCATAATTACCTTTGGAACAAACAAGCTCCCTGAATTCATTGAAACCGGTTACTGTAAGCTTCCTGTTGGACCTTATGTGCCGAATCCTCACCCATGTTGCAAGTGTCAGCGCTTTAAACGCGGATCGCAAACGTGCAGAGTGGGCGCTAGGTGCACATCTTGTGAACATATATTCGACACCTGCTCTTCAGAATTTTGAAAGAAATTTACTTTCCTTAGTGCGCAGGGAACGTTTGAGAAAGAAGATAGAGCAGTGAGATAGGACAGAGGGTACTCCTATCTCGCTGGTCTATCTTCTTTCTCAACATTCCTTGCGCACTAAGGAAGGTGAATTTCTTTCAAAACGCAATACCAGCCAGCCCAAGTAGCCACTCATTTGCTCTTCACAAGCGCGTTGTACTAGCTGTGAAGATCATCCTGCCTACTCTCGACCTTACTCCGCATGGAAAAAAACAAAAAGAAATTAAAAATAGAACTTGATGTCAAATTCAACCTATGTTTAAATTCTGGAGAGACTGCTCAATCTTGGTACTATAATTGTCTTTCTAGTATTTCCACTAGAACCAAATTGCATGTTCTGATTGGTTGTCAGTCACTTTAAGAAAAGTCCAAAAACACTGTCCTGCCGAACACTGGAGCTTAGTTTGATAGATGAAGAGATGTTGTTAATAGATATGTATAGATGTGAAATAAAACTGGTTGCACTTATTTTCAATGTGGTCATTAAGGTGATCACAAGCACATACTTGTTAATGTTTTTGACTTGCTGTAGTTCCTGGTTAACTCCGATATTGAATTGTCAGTTTTTCTTTTTCAGTGTTTCACAATTTATAGATACTGTGGACTTTCACAGAGTTATGTGTTTGTATTACAACCTGAAATTTCACGAATTTTGTCATCCAGGCACTGTCTATATCTGACCTCGCCACAGTTGTGGCAACGTGCGAGATGGTGTCCCCTGCTGTTGTATTTGGCGAGCATCCATGCCCTCTACAACAACCTGTGCTTCTGTCACTCATCCAACAGTTATGTGCAGACCTGGCGACCAGCACTGAAATTAAGTTGAAGTAAGTTCAACGTAATTAATCAGAATTTTTTCTCACGGCTCTGAGTAGTGTTCTGCACAGTTGCAGTGGTACGGCTGCCATGTGCTATTGTTATGCTATCATTGTGGCATGTGATTTCTAAAGCAAATGGTTTGATCGTCAAGATAGCTGATATGTTGCAGTCAACATGGAAATATTCACATTGCCCATTAGTCTTCTGTAAATCTGAAAACCATTATTTTCCCAGTGTATGTCTTGCTCTTCATAGCCATTTTCTCATCTTTTCTGTGACTTGTCATTGTCATTGGTGAAATCCATGCTAAATAAGACAGGCTTAATCTGCTTTGCACATCACGTGGTAAGTATATCACGCATTGGTCAGCAAGTATCCATTTCATTGACCAGCCGCCCAGCTGCGCTGGTCTAGCGGCTAAGGTACTCTGCTGCTGACCCACAGATCGCGGGATAGTATCCCGGCTGCGGGGGCTGCATTTTCGATGATGGCGAAAATGCTGTAGGCCGATGTGCTCAGATTTCCGAAATGCTGTAGGCCAGTGGTCAAAATTTCCAAAGCCCTTCACTACGGCGTCTCTCATAATCATGTGGTTTTAGGACGTGAAACCCCAGATCTCAATCAATTCATTAACCAGCCAGCCAAGAGAGAGCATGTCGGCCTCTCTGATACCTTTTTATGCTTTCCTCTTTCACAAGAGTGTACAGTCAACTATTACTGATTTTCGAGACATGCTTAAAATTTTAGACTTTCTGCTAAAATTGATGGTCAGAACAGCATGCAAAAAAGCCACCACTGCGGTTGTGTCGCTTATCACTTGGCAGTGGTGGGAAACCTGTGCCAGTTGCATCAACCCAGTGATAGAAGTGCTGCTCCAATTGCTCCATACTGCTCCAAAGTGCAATATTTGCTAGTAACTGATCCAAACCTGCTCCAAAATGGTGTTTGCAAACTAAAAAGAATGAAGTTAAATCATGGGACCATCCTGTGAGCCTAAGTGAAACCAAAGCAAGCTGTATACACACTATATCATCGTAGTATGCAACTCAGTGTCGTAAATCCTAAAAAATTGCAAAGGGTGACACATACCAGGCCATGGTGGCCAATTCGTATTTTTATTATGAGTTTTATTTTTATTTATATGAAAATTGAATAATGCTTTCAATAAAATTGTAAAAAACAAGCACAGGGTCTGTCTGAGCTCAAGCGATTGAGTTGTTCTATTCAGTCCCCTTTTTTTTTTACCTTTTTGCGATTTCCATAGCTCAAGGGCATTTAACACAGGTATGCAGTAACAGATAAGGAGCCTTTTAAAATGTTGTTTGGGCTATACTTACCTGTTAATACATCACGTGCTCAAGCTAAATTTCAGGAGGATTGCAGGAGTCGTTGGGAACATGCATGTGCTCTGAAAGCGCCAATAGCAACCCTAAACTATAGCATTTCTCTCTTCTCCGAAGACGTTTAAGCCTGTTCCCAAGCACCATATTTCCTGCTCCAAAGTCTGCTCCAAAAAGCAAAATGTCGCTTCCACCACTGTCAACCTGCACCAACTCAAAATCACTGCGCCATGCTGCTCTAAGGGGGTCTTTTTTGTCCAATCTGCACCATTGCTGCGCCACAAGGTAGTTGTGGAAACTAAAGTAATTGTGAGCAAAATAACGCTATAGTTGCTATCTTGTATAGTTGTGCTGCTGCAATAGCACAGTATTGGCTGATCAATTATTTTAATTTCCGTGTGATTGCGGCGGTGCCTTTTCTTGTAACCATTGGCAAACACCGAAGGCGATGTGGCAACCACCGAAAAGCATGCCAGTATGACGTCGCCGATCAAAAAAACCTAGGTGTCCAGTGTAGCGTCGCTCTAAGCCTACTACAGGCTTTTAATAGCCAGCGACTCTCTGAGCGTGCAGGGGCGCCGATCGCTGCCACCTCAATCGTTGTATGTGACTGTGTTTAGCGTGCACCGCTTTGGAGAAACGAAAGCAGCTTGCCGTTGCGAAATGGCGTTGTGGATAGCGGACACCGAGACAACAAGAATACTGCATGCTTTCAAATAAGGTGACAACCCTAACGGAATAGCCTTTTTGCCGTATCTCTTCACGGTCTGAAGCAAAGTGGGTGCAAGCAGCTGGCGCGGTGTGTATTCCAAGTAGGCAAAGTGCTGCATGCAACTAGCCAGTAGACAATCGGCTTCCCTGCGACCGTACCGTGTCTCAAAAAAAGCTGTGTTTTCACCAAGTAGCAGATCATGGTACACATTAATCATGGACAGCCGCTTATGTCTATTTCGTTGCTATGCCAGTCACTGTGTCGGCTGCGTACCCGTACTCCGCAGTAGTTTCAAAATGCTCCTTGATGTTGCCTCTGCATGCCGTCGAACGACCGTGTGAGAGCCAATAACTTCTAAAAATTGGCAAAGAGAAAAAAAAATGGCTTTTTAGCGGCCACTTTAGGAAATATTTGCTGTGGCACTGTATTATTCCTTCTTCAGTGACGATGGCACGTGTAAAGAATTGGTACTCGGTAATTATTACATACTACATTTAGTGTGTAGTTAACCGTGTTCTCAGCACATGTGTACTTATTAAAGAGCTTTTACTGTAACAAGCTTAGAACGTGTGTGTGTGGGGGGGGGGGGTACATAGGCGTGCACAAAGTTCCTCTTCTGGGGAGGGGGGGCGTACAAAGCTTTGTCATTGCACCCCTCTCACCCCCCCCTCCATCTTCCCCCAGTGCGCAAGCCTTATGGGAGTGAGTGGGGTTCTTCGATTTATAGGCCTCTGGCAGCTTTCTGGCAGCCAGAGTACTGTCAGTCAGCTAGTTCCGACCTGGACAGGAAACAGCGTCGGATCACGTGTGTGGGGAAACCGAGACAACTCGAAGCTGCCCGGAGATCGCAAAATCGAACACTGAAACAGCCAGCGTAAACAAAAACAAACTCTACCGTCGTGGCAACAAACGAAACATTGCGCCGCGTGTGTGTTGGTTTTTTTCTGCAGTTTCCGCTTGGAAATACGTAGCTAAGCTCACCAAAAAGCTGAAATAATATTCTCGAGCACACACATTTGTGGTACAAATTTGTACGTTCGCACGATCACGTGCCGCCTCCTCGAGAACGATGCAAGATGAGCTGCCGCGACGCTGGCAGCTCAACAAGCTCACGTCTTTCAGTACATGTAACAGTCACTACACAACACGACGCGAATCACGCGAAAGTGATCATGTCCCCAAAAGAGCTTGAGGATATATACCTGCTCAGCTATCGCGACCAACTTACGTTTTTGTATAAAGCTTAGACATGCGTAGGTATCAGTACCACGAGTGCGCATCGTATCTAAAATAAACTTTTCCATGACACGTTTTCGAGCAGTTCTGCGACTTGCTTGGGCCTGTTTTCCAGTCCTAAGTGGCACTTATATGTATATCAGCTTTGATACTACCTACTTAGTTGTAAGCATACATATACTGCGCGGCATTATTACGAAGAGGTGAAAAAAGACAGCCGACAATGAAATAGGCAGCGAAAGGATATATACATTTCCGAGTCCATCTCTGTTTTTTCCCCCTCTCCTCGCGTTGTAGCGTATATCTTACCACATATGCTGGCCCACACATCGAAGTGCGCTCGCACGCCGTTTGCAACCAGTGAGCGTCACACACTTGAAGACAACAGTTGCGATATAGGGCCTTCTATCACCATCGAAGATTGATCGAGTAGTCAAGTTCTCAGAGGTTCACGCACGCAAACATACGACGGAGCGAATTATAGTTCAACCACAATAGTCTTCACTAAGCGCACAGAAAGCAGGCACAGCTCCACAAATGACTACTATGGTAAAAAAAAAAAAAACTCCAAAGTTGCCTTTATGCGTGCGTATGAAGGTGTAGTACATAGCTTTTAGGGCGTGTGTATGACACATTTAGCATAGCAAACAACAGTTCGCTGCGTTGTTCACAGGAGGAAGCTTCACGGGAAACATAACGAAAGCAATGAACAGTAGCTTCAAACACTCGCTGCCACTCGTAATCGCCTCATCTCGCAAGGGGGGAACAGGCTTTTGACGATAAGGCCACGCGCAATGACAAGCGAAGGCGCAGTCCTTAAGCGCCCACATTGCAATCCGTGAAGTCCTCACAAAGATGGCGCCGAGCGTGTATCGTACCTTTTTGGCGTCTGCTAGCTAGAAACTTGCCCAAAATCTTTCAGAGAGCTTCCACGACTAAATTGTCCTGGAAGCGCCTCGCTACCCTCGGGCTCCCCGCAGGTCGCCAGAACCGTCCAACCCGAGAAAAATAAACTCCAACCGGAGGTGCGTTGCGGTAGGGGGGGTGGGTGGGTATGAAGCAGTCCGAGAAAAATAAGCGCGCTGTGGCTGGCTCTGGCAGCCCGTAAGTTGCCAGAAGTGGAAATCGAAGAGCCCCAGTGTGTGCGCGCTGCTAGAACTTCATGCTGAAGCCAGCTAGTTAGTGCAATATCCTTCGCTGTTTTTATGTGTCCGCTTCTTAGGATCCTTCTTTGTTTTATTTTTGTTTGTGCTTATTTTGTGGGCTTGCTGCTTCTGTATAAATGATTACGTCAACTGAGAGAACTTAAAATAAGGCTAAATTTTCTTCCTCTGTGTGTATCATAAAAGTTTGAAAATAAGGCTAAATTTTCTTCCTCTGTGTGTATCATAAAAGTTTGTGTGTACTCGAAACACAGAGGTAGCTGCTCCTAAAACAGATTTTGCCTGCTCCAATAGCTGCTCTAAAATTTTAGATGGCATTCCCACCACTGACTTGGCCTTTAACCAGCACTTACGATTGTAATGGATTTGAAAAGTCAGCCTTGCTGCAGTGCGACGGTGTTTTGCGGTGAAGCACACAGACTTTCAAGTAGCCACCTCTTCGGCATGCGTGCATCATTGCCTTTGTAGATAAGCACCAGAAATGCACTAAGTATTTATGGCAGTAGGCGATAAATGCACCAGCACCACTTAATGGCTGATTGCCCTATTATGATAAA